GTAACTTTTTATATTCCTAAGTGTTTGTAGTCTATATAATGAATACTGGACTTGATATTTTTTTTTAAATACTGCTCGACGATAGAGTTCTATAAACTAAACCAGTTTACACGTTATTTTAGTTACGACTTCAGAAGCATAAGTTGAATGTATGTTTACTCCAAAGGTGTGTGAAGTGTAGGACCAGGGTTGGACAGTATTTTTTACATGTCTTTTGTGTGTGTTTCTTGTTTTTCTCTGGGACTGTGGTGTAGCGTGTACGCTTTCCATTGGTTGTCCTGACAGGAACGCACACGTGTACACGTGCACAGGGAAGCAACCTCGATCCACACGCACATGCATACACATCCCTCACACGTCAGACGGGAGAAACTTTTAGTGATGACCTCTTACCCCCACCCTTCATCCCTGTCCACCCATCCCGAAAGCTGAAAGACACTGTGACTCTCTCCCCTCCTACTTTAATGTAGCTACTTCCATAGATATGGCGATTATTTGGGAAACAACCAAGCAGAGGAAGGTGTAGCTAGTCAGCTGGGATCTGTCTAATGGGAGCGTCTTCATGCTCGCCAACTTAACTGCCATGATGCATTGTAGAATCTGTTTTTTTTTTTAAACATGTCTTTTTATTAATGCTATCATGTTTTTATAAACCGTGACAAGGGACTCAAGTATCCATAGAGACGTACTCCTTTTAATTTTTTACTTTTGTTTACACCTGCAAGAGGGACGACGTGTTCTTTCTTGTGGCTTTTTCCACAGTGATTGTTTATAGCCAAACTTCTCTTTTTTTTTATATATATATCTAGAAAAACAGCCAAAATCATGAGTGGCCTACGATTCTTATGCCTTAGTAGTGAAATGTATTAAAGTTTTGCTCTATTTTGTAGTCTTACAATGTGAAACTGGAATTAAGGCTACGCGGAAGTGCTGTATATTATGTGGTGCTGTGATTTGGGATTAAATGAATTGGGAGATTCCTATCAGTTTCTTTCAGTCTTCCTGCTCATTTCGCTGCTGCAACCTCATAGATGACCCTCACTGCATTTCTCTCCATCTCTCTTTGCATCTGCCTCTCATTTAGTGACAGTATTTCATCCGTTTGTCATCATGCCCCTGTTCGCACATACGTGCTGAGGATGCCAGTGTGTGAATGTGATCTTTAGAAAAATGTGTTTGCATCGACATTCATGTCTGTTGTTTCTATCACAGTAACTTTTGTTGCCGCAAGTGTTCTCGAACGAGAAGACTTAAAGATCTGTACATGATCTTTACCAACTAGAACAAGCCTTCAATTAAAGAGCCTGCCTGATTATGTTAAAGAGGAAACTCGAGAGCTTATGCTTGGAGCTTTTAGCTGTTCTTGCCTTCTGAATGTTTCATGATTGTTTTTCCTTTGTGAAACGACCAGACTCGTATGAATCGGAGCCCTGAAAAGAAGCTAAAGGACTAGAGACTGATCCCAATCTCACCCCTGTCTCTATGGATGGGGTAAGTCTGGGGGCAACCCCACTCTATCCCCCTCCCCCAGCTGCACACACCATACCAAACCCCTTCCCCGGGAGCAGCAAAATCTTCAACCCAGCTTTTGGTACTTTTTTTTTTTTAACATAGTCCCCATGCAACTTCTTTAACAGGTACAATGGCTATTTCTTCACATGCTTCTATGATGCAAGCGTATTGACAAAGGTTTATGTGTTAGCATCGGGGGCATATTCTGATATTTGTAAATGATAAGGATACGAATGTAAATTCAAGTTATCTCCCAAAAGGCTTCGCTGGCTTTTGCTTCCATTGTGCATGTTTCCTTTATTTTCTTTCCAACCCCCAAAACGAACATACTTGTCTGATGTGACTGTTCCAACTGAACTAGGTCCCTATGGAACTGTGGAGACCGTGCGCAGTGCTGGTTTGGG